ATCAAGAACTAAGAGTGCAATGATAAACCGTTTGATGATATATCTCGGTATATTTTTCCAGGGTTCAATTCACGATACGCTAAACTGAAATCGCGGTTCGGTTCAATTGGTCCAGAATTATCCAAATCGTCCATTTTGTTTCCTTGTCTACAATTTCAAAATGGCTTCCACGCAAAACATGAGGTCAACAATAATGCCTTAACAGCAGTTACAATCATCTCCAGCATCTTACCAACTTCAGATTTAACACGGTGAAGGACTTTTTCTCATTCCTAATGTGATTAAAAGTTATAGATGTTAAGACAAGTGAGAAACCCTTTAGATCTAAACGTATTCTATGGTAATACACGATATCTCATCACACATGTATTTTGATAAAAATTCGCTGTCTTGTTGACTAAAACGTGTTAACACGAGAAATATGACAACTGGTTTTCTACGTAAATAAAAGGAATAAAAGAATAAATGTCTTCCTTTTTCATTCCAATTTAAAAGGAAGATTATGAGGAAAGGTCCCCATAGTTCCCTGCAAATGCTTGTCAGTGATTTAGAATATTGTCACAACTCAAAGATCTATCTATCAATCTAATTCAAGGTAACAAATTGATATTATCAAAAAATATGAAAATTTGATTTAACCCTGTCAAGTTTTAAAAAATTTGAAGACAAACTTGAAAGACTTCTTTACCTTGTTGTGTATCGTGATACGTATCGTATTGTGAACTGAATACTGTGATACGTATCGTATTGTGAGGTCGGTGTATCGTTGCACCCCTACTAAGAACTATAACTCTTCTCTGGTGGAAATAGAACGTATTTGTTTAAGCAATTTTTTAAATATTTCATTCATGACTTTTATGTATGTTATCAGTAAGAAATTATTCCAGCGAAGCTAAGAAAAAATAACATCTCATTTGCCCATGTGCAAATTCTAACACAACCACAAATGAATCAGTTGCTCCTGCAACCGATAATCAGATCAACAGTCTACATAAGTAACACTAGGTAAACATGTGTTCTATTGATACATGTGTTGTAATAACTTCAATGAATACATAGCATCTTTTATGCATTTAAACAATTAAATGGACAACAAAGTTTTTTTTTCACATTACAATACCTGTGATCACGTGTTTTCAGCCGGGAACCCACCTGACAATTGCATTCACAGATTGTACAACAAAGGAATACAGACGCAAATCGCCTTACAGTGTGGCTTTGAGAAACCTAGAATTCCACGTTTATTTAAGAAATGAATTGTTTGTTATTGTGAGCATGGAAATAACGGAATAAAAATGGATAAATTGCTTTCCATCTACAAAATGCATAAAAAAGAATCTTCTTTGTGCCTTTCCAATCGTCTGTAGATATATATTCTTTTCCGAACATAAAATTCTGTAGTAACCCACAATGCAATTCAACTCATTTAGCTGATTTGTCAGTTCAAGCCATGTTGATACCCCATTTGCTAATCTGATGCTAAAAAATATAGTCCAAGTTCCCATGCAAGTATGTCTGTTTAAAAAGAAATTTAAATACATAACTGCAGAAGATAATTTCATAATGAATACTTATTGTTGAAGTTTGAATGAATTCAAGAAAAATTGAAGTACATTTCTCCATCTTTCTCCAGATATCATACAGTGGTGAAAACTGAAATGCAACATAACTTTTCTGTGTACCATATGTCTCCATGTGCTAGTCACTTCCTAGCCACATTTCCGTGAATAATTTACCTTATTTCGCTGTAGTTTTGGTAAATCTCACCAGAGCTACTGAGAACTCCTCGGGTTTTATAATTTGCAGAATAGCAAAAAATTAAAAGGTTCCTAACACATTAGTAGGGGTGTTTAACCCACATTTACACAACCTTTATCCAGTCTCTAAACTAGCTTTTAAGTTAAGTTATAGTCAATTAAATATGAAGATAAGGAATAGTAATCAAGCTCAAAAGTCCATTGTCATGATCGGGCAAATGGAAAATCCATAGACAATTCAGTGATTTAAGAAATGAATTTAATTTTTGAGAATTCATGAGGACATGAACTACGATGCTTCACACCGGCATATTTCATGAAGCGTGTTGGTGCTTCATGATAAATAAGCAGACATGAAGTGTCGTAGTTCATGTGCCTCATGAATTCTCAAAATTTAAATTCATTTCTTATATTTACTTTATTTGTCTGATGACTTAATTGTCACAAATTTAAGTCTTTCAATGATTATTTTCAAAGCAAAACAGTTCGCAGTACAGTTAAGGTGCCAAATGGAAATATCGGCGAATTTTTTAGATAGAAAATACATTCTTTACAAGGATGGGCAATTCTTTTTAGGACTTTACCATTATCGGACAAATGCAATGTGGTTGAAAACTACATGTTGAGGACGATTAGATTTCTTATTTAGATTTGTCACATGATGTGGCAGTCACATGGTTTTAGCAAATATACCTGAAGTATTGAGGTCATCTATAAATTCCAATATTGCAAGGGCATAACCAAGTTAAAAATCTAAGTTTAAAATATAGTTATTTTCAACACTCTTTGTAGTTTGTGAAAAGTGCTGCGAACCTGTATAGATTCTACTATCTAATTGTTAAAATTACATCTGTTAGACCGTATGTTGAATATTTTGCTGGTCAAATACATTAAATATTGATATAATTAATTCATTTGCAAGAGTTCAACAGGTTCGCAGCACTTTTCAAATATCTTCATACATCTTGAGTTTATGTGTAAAAGCTTGTCATAATTCATTGAGGGTACGCCCTTGCAATATATCAATTTATTACGACCCTTCTATTACCCTTCAATGAATCTGCATACAAATAAACGGCAGTATCGCTTGTCTAGTGAATGTATGGGAAGTATATTAATAAAATCATAAAATAGACATCACATCCAAGTTAATGGCCTCTTATATATCTGCAAATAATATTTTATTTAATTACAAAATACATTTTTCATTGTATAAAATATAACTTGATCAGCCTCTCACTGCATACAAACTGCGTCAAATTTTACGATATGACGTCACATTTACAAGTGCATTGCGATCAGTGAATTGTTTACATATTGCAGTGTGGGATTTAACCAACTACAAAAATGCATGCAATAGTTAGTATTGATGTAGTTTAAAGCTCTCCAACAGTTTAAAATAGCAAATCATTTCATTTTGTGGTAATTTCAAGAACTTATATTTCTGATTGATGTCATAGTAAGCATTTCCCTTATAAATTAGGCCCCGCCTCCTTACTGCAGCCTTAAGGAGGTTGGATCCTGTTATCAAAAGTACTGAGAATTTTTTATCAAGTATATTTTTGGAATCTAGACACATAGCTTAATTAAAAATCAAAACCAAAAACGGGGATCAATGCGCTTCTTTCGGCGCTACGGAGTATTTAATATGACCTTTTTGCACTGTAATTACGTCTAACACACAAATCAGTTTTTCCTCTTATATTTTTTATCCAAATAAATTATGGGAACAAATACAGTCTTTTTTCATCTTGAATAGTCTCTTTAAAATTTGTGACAACAAAAAAAAGTTTCAAATTACTTCGCATAGTCAATTATTTGACCTTTTTGCACTAAAAAAATGTCATTTTTCTGGCATTAAAAATTTAACAAGCAATAAAATCATTTGAAAGTAATCACATTTTTCTGAGTTCAAGCAGAATGGTTAAAATTATCTTGTTTATTCAGAAAATAAAATTAAAAGTGGGGGTCTGTGATGTTAATTTTTAGATATAACTAAAATAGTGCTAATTTTTAGCCTAAAAAGGGCTATTTTTTCCCCAGGACTTTCACAATATATTTGTTATATTTGTCCAATATGATTACAGAATTCATGACAGTTAATTTAATATATTATTTAGGACCAGCATAAAACATTTCACTGCTCAAAATAACCGTGTGTGCAGGCTGCATGTAAAAATAGGAATTCAAACTTAACAATACTGTAAATATTTCGAATGAGAATAATTGATCATTTTCTTCTATAAAATCTTCCGCCACAAAATATAGTTCCTAACTTAATGCTTTCAGTATGGAATTTAATCATGGGGTTTTAATTGAATATAGTTAAATTGGCATTGCAGAATCCAAATTTATTGTAAGAACTAAAACATTATGCAGAATTTTTCAGATAGAGGTCTACACAAAAATCTGCCCAAAAGCTCAGGAACGAACCTCGTTAACTGTGCTGCGTTTGCACTATAGTTTTGACGTCAAGTACGATATTATGACATCACAATGGAGATACTCTTGCTCTTCCATTGTAGTTCATGAGAAATGAACTTTTTCTAATTTGCAAAGAATCTTGAGGAAAAATATTGGGAAATGTAAATATTAAATAATGACCTAACAATTAGTATGAAAAATGTCAGTCAGCATTTGACTTAATGCTAGATTGTATTTGCTGACAAGGTCATTGTATCGACTATAGTACTTACAAAATGATGACTTCAAAGGAGACTTATTGATATCCCTGTTTCCTCAAACTGTCTGTCAGTAGCTTGCCTCATTTTAGGAAATGTTCGTATCTGGCGCATGCTCTTGCATGTTGAATCAACTGGGAGATATAAACTGCATATGCAGGTGATAAGGGTATATCACTACTTAAGTAAGGGAAGTTGAGGATAGAAAAGTTGAAGTCATCAAGTTTGTCATAATAAAGTTTTGTTGTTAGGTTACCCTTAATATCTTTTTCTAGCAAAATATTCAAATATGAAACAGATGTGTCAGACTCTGTGTTATCTTTTATTTCAAGTTCACTGGGATGACATATGAATGGAAGTAACTATTGTTAATTGATAATACATCATCGATATACCGTATGTGTACACACAAAAGCGGGCTTTATATTTTAGCAGCTTTGGCGCGGACAAGGATGCGCTAATTCATGACTACCGCAAAGAAATCAATAATAAATACAATGGGGGGGGGGGGGTCCATTTTGGACAGTTCTAGTTTTAAATTGTTTCCTTTATTATTTTGTAGATGTGACTTGGTGCTGAATCTATGTAATCCTGATCCATGTCAAAATGGAGGTGAATGTCGATCATGGGGTGCTGTCAGAAGACAGTGTGTCTGTAAACCAGGATTCTCAGGAGTGAATTGTTCTGTAAATATAGGTAAGTGTTGCACACAATCATGGTTCTCCTTCTACTTTGAACTATGCTATGAAGCACTTTCATATGCTTTGAACAGTTTTCTGACAATATTGCTACTTTTAGAAATATTTTATGGAAATGGGGGGTAGAATCAACAAGGTTAAAGTATAGGTAAACTGTTCTGATGAAAGGAGTCTTTGTAAAGGCAGAACTGCATAGACTGGCATATAATACATTGAATCTTTGTTTTTATTGTCCATTTGAGTGGATATTTTATAGGAGAGAGTGTGTCTCTCTAATAGATTTCAAACTGAAATTTCATTTTTAGGTCACCTGAGTCACTCAGGTGACCTATTGCTATCCGTTTTTGTCCGTCAGCGTTCGTCGTGCATCGTGCATTAACATTTGAACATTTTTAGCTTCTTCTCTGAAACCACTCAACCAATTTCAACCAATTTTGGCATATAGCACCTATGGGTGAAGGGGAACAAAAATTGTGAATTTCATGGTCCCTGCCCCCCTGGGGCCTGAGGGGTGGGGCTAAAACCACCAAAATTAATGCAATCTTTAAAAATCTTCTTCTTTACTCCTGGACATCAAGCAGTCAAACTGTTGGCATGATTGTAATAAGCAATGAGCCCTCTACCAAAAATTGTGAAATTCATGGCCCCAGGGTCAGGGGTTGTGGTGCTAGGGTGGGGCTATATAGATCATATAGTGAAAGTGCATTATTTCTTTGAAAATCTTCTTCTCTGCTCCGGGGTATTAAATAAACTAACTAAGTACATAGTTATGTTGAGCAAGACTGCCTCTTCCAAAATTGTGAATTTCATGGCCCCTGGGTCAGGGGTTCTGGTGTTGGGGAGGGGGGGGGGGCTCTACTGATTATATAGTGAAAATGCATTAAATCTTTGAAAATCTTCTTCTCTGCTCCTTGGTATGAAATATACTAACTGGGTACATAGTTATGATGAGCATGGCTGCTTTTTCCAAAATTGTGAATTTCATGTCCCCTTGGTCAGGAGTTTGGGTGATAGGGTGGGGCTCTATTGATTATATAGTGAAAATGCATTATTTCTTTGAAAATCTTCTTCTCTGCTCCTGGGTATTAAATAAACTAACTAAGTACATAGTTATGATGAGCATGGCAACCTCTTCCAAAATTGTGAATTTCATGGTCCCTGGGTCAGGGGTTCTGGTGTTAGGGGGTGGGGGGCTCCATTGATTATATAGTGAAAATGCATTAAATCTTTGAAAATCTTCTTCTCTGCTCCTGGGTATGAAATAAACAAATTAAGTATGTAGTTATAATGAGCATGGCTGCCTCTTCCAAAATTATGAATTTCATGGCCCCTGGGTCAGGGGTTTGGGTGTTAGGGCGGGGCTCTATTGATTATATAGTGAAAATGCATTATTTCTTTGAAAATCTTCTTCTCTGCTCCTGGGTATTAAATAAACTAACTAAGTACATAGTTATGATGAGCATAGCAGCCTGTTCCAAAATTGTGAATATGCATTAAATCTTTGAAAATCTTCTTCTCTGCTCCTGGGTATGAAATATACTAACTGAGTACATAGTTATGATGAGCTTGGCTGCCTCTTCCAAAATTGTGAATTTCATGGCCCCTTGGTCAGGGGTTCTGGTGAAAGGGGGGGGGGGGGGGAGAGACTCTATTGATTATATAGTGAAAATTCATAATTTCTTTCAAAATATTTTTTTCTACTCCTGGTTATAAAGCAAAGAAACAAGTGTATAGTTATGATGAGCAAGGATGCTTTTACAAAATTTTTAAAACTTGTGGTCCCAGGGGTTCTGTTGTTTCTCGGGGGGGGGGGGGGGGGGGGCTCTTTTTGATTATATAGTGAAAATGTGTGAATTCTTTGAAAATCTTCAACTAATTGCATAGTTATGATGATGAGGGTACCTCTTCCAAATTTGTAAATTTTCGTGACCCTAGGTCATGGGTTCTGGTGTTAGGGTAGGGCTGTGTTAAATAGTGAAAATGCATTATTTCTTTGAAAATCTCCTCTGCTCCTGGGCATATTAGAAGCAAACAGAGTAAAAGTTTTGATAAGCAAGGTATTTTTACCAGAATTTTGAACATCTGGACCATTTAGTCAAGTGTTCTGGTCCTTGCCAGGGCTCTATTAATTTGTATTCTACTGAGTGAAGTTATTCACCTTTGCCATTCACCTTTGATAATTAATCACTGTAGATAATGTATTTGAAAGATTAATAGAATAAGAAAATTATGCAAGAACATTTATTGTATAATACAAAAAGTACTTTCATAGTTTTAATAATCAGGTAGACTTGGAAATAATAGATGAATAAAAATGAAACAAAAATAACTTATCTTTTTAAATGTTCTTCAAAGGCCAAGTGAGGCCAATGTGAGAGGTAATAATAGAGACATCTATTATGATCTTAATCATACTATTTTCCTTGCTATTGGGCAACAAAGCTTCGTTTATCAGTTTATGGATCCTCTAAATTGTTGTACTCAGGTGACCGTTAAGGCCCTTGGGCCTCTTGTCAATATTTGGTACGTACCATTTACTCCCACAATAAATATTCAAAACAGAAAGCAGTGGGTAAGTGTTCTGCTTATTTATCTTGACCAAATAAATTGTTAGGGTTGCTTAAGTTGATTTCATTGAGTAATATTGTCTAAATTTCAAATTAATTTTATCCTACATCCAGAGACAGATCACTTTATTTGCATAAAAATCCCTTGGATATTGTGTTTTTAGCTCACCTGAGCTGAAAGCTCAAGTGAGCTTTTCTGATCACCCATTGTCCATCCATCCGTCTGTAAACTTTTCACATTTTCAACTTCTTCTCAAGAACCACTGGGCCAATTTTAACCAAACTTGGTACAAAGCATTCTTGGGTAAAGGGGAATTTAAAATGTTAAAATGAAGGGCCAATCCCCTTCAAAGGGGAGATAATCAAGAAAATACAAAAATTAGGTGGGGTCATTAAAAAATCTTCTTCTCAAGAACCACTGGGCCAGAAAAGCTGAAACTTATGTGGAAGCATCCTGGGGTAGTGTAGATTCTAAATTGTTCAAATCATGACCCCCGGGGGTAGGGTGGGGCCACAATAGGGAATCCAAGTTTTACATTGAAATATGTTTTAAAAATCTTTAAAAATCTTCTTCTCAAGAACCACTAAAGTTTAAAACTTATGTGGAAACATCCTTGGGTAGTGTAGATTGTAAATTGTTCAAATCATGACCCCCGGGGGTAGGGCGGGGCCACAATAGGGAATCCAAGTTTTACATTGAAATATATAGTAAAAATCTTTAAAAATCTACTTCTCAAGAACCACTAGGCCAGAAATGCTGAAACTTATGTGGAAGAATCCTTGGGTAGTGTAGATTGTAAATTGTTCAAACCATGACCCCCCGGGGGTAGGGCGGGGCCTCAATAGGGAATCCAAGTTTTACGTTGAAATATGCAGAAAAAAATCTTTAAAAATCTTCTTCTCAAGAACCACTGGGCCAGAAATGCTGAAACTTATATGGAAGCATCCTGGGGTAGTGTAGATTCTAACTGTTCAAATCATGACCCTGGGAGGTAGGGCGGGTCCACAATAAGTACTACAAGGGGGGGGGGGGGGATCAGGTGAAAAACAGCAAGGCCAAAGTCACTCAGGTGAGTGTTGTGGCCCATGGGCCTCTTGTTTACCTTGACCTTGGAGTTTGACCCAGTTTTGCAAAATTTTACCCAATTTTAACCTTGGCCATTACTTTTGTACAATTGGTGCTAGGGCTTTCATACTTCACACGTGTAATCCTTGGTACAAGGCCTTTTTTTGGATACCAACAACTTTACCTTTTGACCTTGACCTAGGAGCTTTACAAACTTTAACTTGGCCTAAACATTTGAACAGTTGTTGGTAAAGATTTCATACTTTACATGTGTAATCCTTGTGACAAGACCTTCCTTTAGATACCAATAATTTTGACCCTTTCACCTTGACCTTGGAGTTTGACTTACTTTTGGAAAACTTTAACCTTGGTCATATCTTTTGGTGCTAGGGCTTTCATACTTCACATATGTAATCTTGTGACAAGACCTTTCTTGGATACCAACAACTTTGACCTTGACCTTGGAGTTTTACCTACTTTTGGAAAACTTTAAACTTGGCCATAACTTATGAATGGTTGGTGTTGGGGCTTTCATACTTCACATATGTAATCCTTGTGACAAGACCTTTCTTTGGATATCAACAACTTTGACTCTTTGTCCTTGACCTTTGAAGTTTGACCTACATTTGGAAAACTTTAACCTTGGCCAAAACTTTTGAACGGTCTGTGCTAGGGCTTTCATATTTCACATATGTAATTCTTGTGACAAGACCTTCTTTTGGATACCAACAACTTTGACCTTGACCTTGGAGTTTGACCTACTTTTGGAAAACTTTGACCTTTGACAGAACTTCTGAACAGTTGGTCCTAGGATTTTTTACATTTAATATGCCTATTCCTTTTGACAAGACCTTCTTTTGGATACCAACAATTGTAATCCATTGACCTTGACCTTGGAGTTTGAACTACTTTTGAAAAACTTTAACCTTGGTCATAACTTTTGAACAATTGGTGCTTCGTTTTTTATATTTCACCTGTGTATTTCTTGGGAGAAGGCCTTACCTTGGGCACCATTAATTTTGACCATTTGACCTTGACCTTGATGTTTGAAAAAACTTTAACCTTTTCCATATCTATTCAGTGGTTGCTTCTATTTTATCAATCAGTTCTCAGAACTTTTCAAATGCCCCTCGTACAACATCAAATGACATCATAGTGTATTTTGTGTTTTACTCGTAAAAGTACCAATATTCAATAACAAATGTCTCTGTAATGACCATATACCTTATAATGTCCATAATAAATGTAGTGAAAATTCCTAGCTTTCAGGTTATGTCATTCATTTTTATTTCGTTGTGTGTTGTAATTAAGATAAAGCCAACAGAAGATAGCATAAAATCAGTCATTTATGCATAATTTTATCAATTTCCTGCAAGGATATGCAATATTTACTTCAAGTTTACAATAATTTCTTAACATTGCACAGAAAAACTGAGTATAAAAAATGTTGAGTTTCTTCTCTAGTTTCAGAAAATATCAATTAATGTTTTGTTTTATCCCAATTATTTACAAAACACCAACAGTAAAATATCTGTGATACTGAAAAGGCATCACTGCATGGGCGTTAAAGGTTTAAAAAATGAATTATTATTACTTTTATTTACATCTGTGACTAATTCTTAACAAATACTTGGGTACTATAGTTTTAACACCATGAAATGATTTATTTTTGTTTAAATTTCAACAGTAATTATTAATTAAATGTGATGAACATGTCGACCACTTAATACATCACTATGAAATATTGTAAATCATTTATGACTATAAACAATGAATTTATGGTCAGGTGAGGAACCTGTTTATACTCAAACTTAAATACACCTTTCAGATAGTGTTATATAAGGGAAACATTTGTAAATGCAAATATTAATATTTAGAAATATATTACAGAGGCCTTTAATTATGTAAATAAAAAGAGACATAAGAAATGTCCAATTATTTTTGATTAGGAATTGAATTGTGTTTCTGATTGAATTCGATAATCGATAGTGTTTTTCATCCAATTCTCAGACATGTTACAACACTAAGTCCCCATGATAAAGTTTTTACTACCAATTATTTGATTCAGATTGGTATTTTTTTCAGATGATTGTTCACTAAACATGGATGGGTGTTTGTATAACAGTACATGTAGAGATGGAGTTGATAGCTATACATGTGGTTGTAAGTCAGGATTCAGTGGTGGGCATTGCCAGGTCACCAGAGATTTCTGTAGTGGAACACCATGTCCTAATGGAGGCTGTGTGAATGACTATACAACACTGTCACCCAAATGTTTCTGTGATTACCCATACCAGTTAGGTAATATGTTATATTCTTCAACATATACCGAGTATATTCTCCATAAAAACTGTCTCAACTCTCAATTACAATATAGTATGGATGTATCCTAGAACATTCAGTACTCTTTTGATTTCAAATCACAGGAAATGATGGTCAATGTGAAAAGATGGATCTATGTAACAACACTGTATGTAACAATGGAACCTGTAACCATCTGACTGGGAAGTGTAGCTGTAACTCCGGCTATGAAGGTTCTAATTGTCAGCACAGTGTGGATGACTGTAAAGACATGCCTTGTAAGAATGGATCAACCTGTATTGATGGATACCAAGACTACAGTTGTGTATGTGTGTCAGGATTTACAGGTAGATGTCAATTAAAATAACGAAAAAATGATGCTTTTAATTAGGGCTGCGACGAGATTTATGTCAATATCAATATCATTTCCAATGAAGATCATAAGCATTTCTTTGTATGTTTAGAAAAATTGATGCAGAAAACAAAATTCAAGATTTTTTTTGTTGTTTTATTTATGTTTGGGTTTGAAATATAAATATTTAAATCCAGATATGAATGTGAAAGAACTGCAAATGATAGTATTGTTCTGCCTACAGTACAGGCAACACAGATTCTGTATTAGAGATCCCCTCGGTGGTGTGTTAATCCTTTCTGCATTACACCGTTGAGGGTTTTGATCGTGTTTACACCGCGGCGGGGCCAGCTATTGTTTTTCTTTAGCTTAGAGTTGTTACCTGTAAAGTGTTTTCAATTTTTCATCGCGACAAAAAGGGGGGGGGGGGGATTCATTAAAGATCATGGCCTACATTATATCGTGAATACCATTAACGTAGAACCTATGTCGTATGACGTCATATCAAGTAAATGAGTTTAGACCGTCTTTTTTGGTGCTAGATCCATTATGATGTCATAATTAATTTAATGTTACTTTTTCCCGTACTTTCTCCAAGACTGTCTCACGTAAAGAAGTTACACAACTGTGATAATGTGAATGGCATGCAACTATTTTGAAGGCAACCAGAAATCCCAAGAAATCTAAAAAGTACAATATCTTGATGAAGCGTTTCTGAGTCAAAGATCTGTTAAAAATTGTGTGTAAATTTTGTAATGTCTCTCATGAAATGACGTGCATTCCCTTTCATAATTATTATTAATTATTCATAATGGTTCATGTATAATAATAATGTTTCCCTAAAATATTTTTTTTTTTTAATATGATATATATTCACATTGTAAATCTGAATGTAACCCCAAAACGGCCATTTAATAATTAAATCCTGTATAAGTGCAAAAAGGTCAACAAAAGAAGTATTGATAAGTAGTCTCTCATTCGTTTGCGGCGAAAGGTATATATTTTAATCACTTTTTGTAATTATTTGGGTATGAGCTTCATCATATTAAAGATTGAAAACATTCTGACAAAGACTTTTGAAAAATATTTACAAAGAATGAGTGCACTTTAGTACGTCATTTGGAACCTTTTCGGCTACCCATTTTAAGCTTTACATTACAATATATCACTTAATTAATCTATGATTATTGTGCAAGCATATTCTTTTGATATTTATTCCTTGAATTTTTTGTCATACATATTTCTATAATTACAGACAATGTCATTGAAAAGAGCATATACAAACCTTAAATTCCGGAAATTTGAACGGGACCACTTACGAATTTAAGGTATCCGCAAATAGGCGGAGTCATTTAAATCGCATGGATGTGGAATGTAAACATTAGCACATATATGATTTTTTTTCGCACTGCGAATTTTAATGGAGAAGAGAGAGATTGTGTAGTTTTATGGTGCACAAATAATAAATGATTCTAGTGTTTAGGGATGGGGAAGATGTCTCGCCCTGCAGACCATTATACAGAGGCGACATGAGCCTGTACATGTACTTGCTAATCACACTGTCAATACCAGAATTCTTTCAAAACACCCGTAATGAAAAATACAAAGTAAAATAAGAGACATATAATCTTCAAACCCTATTAAAATTTGCGCAAAAATCTTCCATAGTTTGAAGTTGAAAGTACTATAGATACTGTCACAATAGAAACTTTCAATAACAAACACAATGAAATGCTCAATGAAAGCCTTAGCGTATCGAACAGTGGAATGTCACGTGAGTAAAGTGATTATAATATCAATCGTTGACACTCGGTGAACTGTTAATTTAGTGGCTAATTCGACCGTAGTTTGGAGACTTTTTCAAAAAATTAGATATGAGCCGCAATTTGTCCAACATTGTCCTTTGGATATGTTGAAGTTTAAATCAAAATACACATTCTGTGCAAATGAGACCAATGGACAAGTTGCGGCTCGATGTAAACAATGTCGTTGAAAACTGGTATGCATATGAATAACAATAGAAATGTGACAAAACTGTTAGACCCCCGTCTCAAAAGCTAGTGTCGCTCGGCATTATTTAATACTTTCATGTAGTATAATATACCAAAACCTGCTCTTAAGACATTGTTTAATACCTATAAAACATAAAGTTTATGAACTTTGGAATTTTATTTTGCGCAAAACACCGGGACCCAGCTCTCATAGCTTAAGTGCACTCATCCTTTAGGTGGTAAATTGACTCAAAAAATATTGAACACATTTGCCTATATTCGTTGAAATGTGGACTTAATCGTTTATGTCAATTGCATAAAATTGAATTTATTCTTGAATAATATTGCTTAATACGCTCCAATTGATAAAGTCTATAAACGACGATGTTTGAAGAAGTATTTTTGTGATTTTCTATATTCTCTTTAGGACCAGTATCCCTAAAAATGAATGAAAATATGTAGTCGCAGTGTAAAATTATCATTCCAAGTTGCACAGGCTGCACTACATTTAATAACAAGGAAACATACCATATATTTTTAACTGATTGATAAGCGAGTGCTAATATATCATTTTGAAAAGTTTGAATCTTGTGACAAAGACTTTTCCGACATAGGTTCTACCTTAAATGAAATTTTTATTTAATTTAGAGTATTAACAAATGGTATAATAATTATTTATTTCCTATGCTTTTTATCAATAGTCATTCAAAATAAGTTATTTCTCAAATTAAAAAAAAAGAGCATATATAGCTAGTGCGTGGGGTAAAATTGGATGAAATGTCGTCAGCTCATTTTCCGTATATATTTATTTAAAATCAATAACTCCAACATAAATTATCTTGAAATTGCTAAATAATCCTCCTTATAACAGTAGCCTTAGAATTTTTTAAATGCCATCATTAAAATGCAGTGTCCACGTTTAGCCCGTGCAGTTGCGTTAATTCTCAGTTACATGAAGGTAATATATACTTTTCTACAAGAATCGAACACAGTCTTTGGTTTCTTAAAAAAAAATATGCCTTTGTATATATAAATCTGATATTAATATTGAATGAAAAATGATGATAGAGGTGGTAACAGTATTAAACACATGTACATATAGGAGTATGTTGCACCATTAACTGCTAATATTATGCGCTACAGTCCCTGAAACGTTCTTCTTTCCCACTTGAACGGTGAGCGAACGCTGAACGAACGGTGAACGAACGCAGAGCGAACGGTGAGTGAACGATGTGTGAACGCTGAACGCAACTTGGTGAACGATGTGTGAACGGTGAGCGAACGCAGAACGCGAACGGAGCGCAAACGCAAGCGCAAAGTGAACGGTGAACGAACGGTGAACGCAAGATGAACGATTTATTCGGAATGCCTCTGATCTTTTCCTTGCATTGAAACTATTCTATTGTATTCTAATGCCTGGTGCTAAAAAAATAAATAAATAATAAATAAATAAACAAATCAATGAAAATTGTCCTAAGAAAGAAGATACATGCACATTAAGTAAAATTATTAATTTAAGTTTCTAACAATATTTTCTGCACATATGACAATGTTTAAATTCAACTTTTTCAATAACACGATTTTTATCGCTGTAAAACATTGTGCTTGTTACCGAACGCTGTAGTTTAACAGATAAAATTAATCTAGTTGTAAAATAAATATGTTTATTTTTATTTGATATATAAAACCATTACAAATAAGTGGATTCTAGAAGAGAAAACTACGGACTTATAGAATGAATTACAACGGTTGTAACAACCATACAAGGCGATTCCGTGTAAAATAACGAGAAGAAAAAAATGTTTTACAAAGGTATGTGGACGTATTACATAATACACTTGTATTTTAAATTTTTAATGCAATAATATATTTTTGTGACAGTTTTATTTTTTATGATGATTCATTGAACGGACTTCTACATGTATCTGTAGACATTTCCCGGCCGTGATTATACTCGGACAAGATGATACGAAGAGGCAATCATATTATTTGTTGCATATCAAATTTTCACAACTTGATATTTAAGTAATATGCTGTCATAGTTTTATTAAACAGAGAGAGAGAGAGAGAGATTCGGTTTTAGCCCCCCTCCCTTTCCTCCCTCCCTTTCCTCAAATATTTGTACCTATATCAAACAAAAATTCTTATTTTTTTTTCTAAATATATCAGGCAGTGAAAGTAACCATTTTTTATCAACAAATCCATTTGTTTTACAGTCATAATCGGTTTTTATTTTCCTGCTTCAAGTTCACACGAAGTCCACGTGCTTGACCTGTCAATCAAAATCATTCGACACTGTGCAGGTGTGAAAGTCTCGTGACACCGAAGGCAAAGTGTTATTATTTCCAAGAAGTTTTAACATTTTTTCTTATCATTTCTAGATCTGATTCCAACATTTCTAAAAAAATAAATGAATAAATGAATAAATTAAAATACATTGGGAATAAACACTTGGAATGATTAAGCCGCTTAAATTTGAAACGTACTCCCTGCCAATTTAAAATATCACCGCCAGCACATGTACATTTTGAAATACTATTGTTTAATGACTTTGTTTAGATGCATGTTTGTTATGAGACTGAAATTTTTGTGCTACAAAACACATTAACTTCTTTTTAATTGCTTATTAAAATGTACTGGAAATACTAACAAAGTAACCGATTTAGGGGAAGGGGGGGGGGCTCTTAATAATATCGAATGACAAACATAAAGTTACGGTGAAAAATATCATTACTGGAGAATCACCTTGGTTTATTAATGACAATCATGTTAGGCCAAATAAAAAAATATGTGTGGTTCCGGTTACCCGACCTTCCCTATTTTATACCCCCGACCCTAAACTTTTTTTTGGCAATTTTCATATTTTTTCCGGAATTTTCCCCGATTTCCATCAATGGCTCCAGTTTAAGTTTTAGTTTCAGCAATGGCGGCCTCCTTGCAAAACATAGTGCTAGTATTTAATAGTGTTAAATCCAAAGCAAGCTAGCATGTAGGTGTCCCCTACCAATATTGACTAGTATATTA